AGCCAATGTGGAGCGAATGCCAGATGCAGAATCGCCCTTTCTCAGCACAAAAACGTGGCTGCATTGTGAGGATGAGCTAGCCATCAGCTTTGCCATTTCAAAATGCTAGAGAAATCAGTCATTTGAAGATAACATGGGAACGTGAACCCTGTAACACCAGTTTCACCATTCCACACAGATTGAGATCCAAAGAAACCACAGCTAAACTAAATGCTTTGGGTTGTTTTATTTATTTTAGCTTATGTATAGAAAAATCCCAACTTCCAGTATTGGCTACTGGGGTCAGAACTTGCTGAAACCGAGGTTGATTCTGCATTGGCTTTTCCCTCAGTTGTTTTATGAAACCCTTGTTGGAACAGAAATTCCCCTCTACGCTGCATGCCTCTTTCACTTCCTTTGATCATTGGGGTTTATGGTAGCCTCCACCAACGTTCCCTCTAAGCTGAGTTAGTGTGAGCTAGTGCACAGTTTTTTAGCCTCCGGCTCACACATTTTTGTCTCAGCTCGGGAAGGAGGGCTCCAGAACAAACTGATTTATGCAGTAACCAAATTGCTCCCTCGCAACTTTAATGCCAGTAGCTCATAACGTTGCATTTTTGCTCACAAGACTCCACAGCTTAGAGGGAGCATTGGCCTCCACAGTCCATGCCGCTTTCGCTTTGTTTGATCATCAGATCTTATTGTACCCTCTGCATAGATTTATGGCCATTTTATGGCCATTCAGGGTTGACTTTGGAGTTAGTATGGCATTGTGGTTTTGAGCTGAACTTTTCCCTCCCAGTTGAGACAATGTGGAGCAAATGCTAGATGCAGCATCGCCCTGAGAGGTAAAAAAGATCTTGGGGTCGTAGTGGATAGCTCAATGAAAGTGCCAACCCAGTGTGCTGCAGCAGTGGAAAAAGTGAACTCTCATGTTAGGGACTGAACATAAAATGGTTGATATGATAATGCCCCTGTATAGATCTATGGTTTGGCCTCATTTGGAATATTTTGTGCAGTTCTGGTTTCTGTTATCTTAAAAAGGACATTGCAGAACTGGAAAAAAGTACGGAGGAGGGGCCACCAAGATGATTAGGCGGTCGGAGCACCTTCCCCATGAGGAAAGGCTGAAGAGCCTGGGGCTTTTCAGCCTAGAAAATATTGTCAAGTTTAGAAAATATTAATATTACAGACAGATATGGGAGGTGGCTCGAGTTAAGATTTCCACGTAAACTGTCAAAGTAGTAAAACGATGTCTCCCCCTGTAATGTATCCAGTCCAGACCGCGTGGCCGGCTCAGGCTCCATGCGGTAAGAGACAAACGTCGAGCTTTGCTCCAAGAGACAATGGACTATGCGGATCCTAGCCCGCTCCAATCAGGGGGCTGGGTTCCCAGCCGAGAGCCTATGGGACTCTCGGCCACTGTAAATAATCTATTGGGAAGTAGGGGTGTGTTTTGTGTGGCAGTTTCTCGGGGGATATAAGCCAGCCTGCGAGCCGGTCAAAGTCGTCTTGTTCCTGATCAAATAAATGACGCTTTGCTGAAATCACTCTCCATCTGCGTGCTTTTCACCCCCCCCCTCCTTTACATGCATTAATCTGTCTTAGTGGATATAAATGTGGAGCAGAAGTTAGAACTCCTTCATTCCCTCCCCCGCGCGATGATTTAGAAGTGATTTAATTACATTTTAAACACTGTTCAAGCTGTGGGTTATTATTATTATTGTGTTAGTGAGACTAATATCCCTTTGTAAATGCCATGCAAATGCATTGGGAACAGACATTAAGTTTTGTGGGCATTAAGCCTCCTGCTGTGTGACAAATGGTGTAATTTCTTTTAAAATTCATCAGAAAAATCAACCCCAGTGGTCTCAGTACTTGGGAAGGGGCCATGGCTCAGTGGCAGGGCATCTGCTCGGCATGCAGAATTTCCCAGGTTCAATCCCCGGCATCTCCAGTTAATGAGGATTAGGCAGCAGGTGATGGGAAAGACCTCAGCCTGAGACCCTGGAGAGCCGCTGCCCTGGCTGAGTGTGGCTTCTTTCTCTCTGCCCGATGAACGTAGCGCTTGAACTTCAAGTGTACTTATCCCCTCTTTGCCTTCCTTCTTCATTGAGAGAACACATTCTGTCAGCAGATGGGAAAGCTCAATCCGCTCACTGGCTGTACCCGCTGCATCGTGCCGTTCGACGAACGTAGGTCTGCCTATAAAGTTTTAAATTAGTTAGCCAGAGCGAAGCCCTGTTGGGTATGTCTCCAGTGCCCTAAAGGTGCTTGTGCAATGCAGGAGATCCCAAAGTGTTATTTGCCAGGCCGGATTAAGCGTGATTAACCTGTAGAATTCACTGCCACAGGTGGTGGCGGCGGCTACAAACATGGATGGCTTCAAGGGGGAACTCAATAAGCATATGGAGCAGAGGTCCATCAGTGGCTATTAGCCACAAGGTACAGAGAGGAACTCTTGGTCTGGGGCGAGTGATGCTCTATATTCTTGGTGCTGGGGGGGTGACAGTGGGAGGGCTTCTAGTGTCCTCCTGGCCCCACTGCTGGACTTCCTGATGGCCCCTGCCATTTTGGCCACTGTGTAACGGAGTGTTGGACTGGATGGGCCATTGGCCTGATCCAACATTGGCTTCTCCTATGTTCTGATGTTCTTATCCAGTGCTTAGCTACTGGCCGTGCTGAATTATGCCTTTTGTGGTTTCTTTTTTCCTTTGTGTTTGACAGCCGAGCAAGAGGCACTAGCTAAGTCTTCAGGAGAGTTTCGAGGTTCTTCAGGAGTGACGTAGAAAGGGAAATTCTCCTGGTTGTGGTTCACCCCCCCCCCCAATCACTACCCCATCTTTCTTTTAAACTCAGATGCAAGGGAAGCAGGGGCCTAGCAGGATTGTGTAAATCAGGGGGCATTGCTAAAAGTGGGGGGCGGGGATAGGGCAGACGGGGAGGAGGCTGCGCCGCTGCCACCACAGCCATCACCGCGCCACGATTTGCAATGCGGATGAAAACCAGGAGACGGCAGGTGCTGGGCTAACCACCACTTTGTTTCTTTCCTGCACCCCATTCGGCAGTGTAGGAATGGAGGGCAGGGCTGACCAGCGAGGTCACGGGGGGAGGGCAGGGGCGGGACTACAGCCATGCACTGCAGCACAAAAAAAACAAGGCTTTTTCAGGGGGCAGGGCTGGATGGGAAGTTGGGGACCCTTGGCGGTAAGTCGGGGGGCAGGCCCCGAGAGGTCCCACTGAAGCTACGGGCCTGAAAGGAAGGCAAGGTACATTTGAGTCCAGTAAGCACCCCAGAGTCCAACAAGTTTTGCAGGGTATGAGCTTTCCAGAGTCTGAGCTCAGATACATCAGATACTTGAAGATCTTGCTGGTTTCTAAGGTGCTGCTGGACTCGGATCCAGCTCTTCGGCTGAGGACCAACACAAATACCCTCTAAACTATCTTCAAGGAAAGGCAAGAGACTCATGCCTTTACCAAGGGTACAGCTTTTATTGAAGGATAGTTGATTTTTTAAATATGGGAGGACCAATGCTCCTTCTAAGCTGTGGAGTCTTATGAGCAAAAGTCCTACTTTGGGAGCCACTGGCACTAAAGTTGTGAGCGAGCGGTTTGGCTGCTGCATAAATTAGTTTGCTCTGGAGCCCTCCTTCCTGAGCGAAGACAGAAATGTGTGAGCTGGAAGCTAGAAAGCTGTGAGTGAGCTCACACTAACTCAGCATAGAGGGAACACTTCCTGCAATGCTCCCTCTAAGCTGTGGAGTCTTGTGAGTAAAAAGCCTACTTTAGGAGCCACTGGCATTAAAGTTGTGAGCGAGTGATTTGGCTCCTGCATAAAACAAAAATGTGTGAGCCGGAGGCTAAAAAACCTGTGAGCTAGCTCACACTGACTCAGCTTAGAGGGAACACTGGGGAGGACAACCAAGCAGCACCGGCTGAGATTCCTTCTCTCAGTAAGCCCAAGGCCCTGACCTGGATTGCCCAGGCTAGCCTGATCTCATGATATCTTGGAAGCGAAGCAGGGTCAGCCTTGGTTAGTATTTGGATGGGAGACCGCCAAGGAAGTCGAGGGTCGCTACGCAGAGGTAAAGATGTGAAGGTCCAGAAAAAACCCGGAAAAATTCGGGGGGGGGGGGTTTTCTTCCCATTTTTTCCCTGAAGACTTTTTTGTTTTTTTCTGAAAAATTGAAAAAAAAAATGATTATGGAACATTTTATTTTAACATGATGAATAAAATATTTCAGGACAAGGTGTTCAAATATTTTCCAAATCATTTCTAAAAGATATGTATGGTATCAGATTGATCTAATGTCTGTGTACTGAGGAGAAGCAAGTCCTAGGTTTCAAACTGAACTCTCCAGTGCAAGAACAAGATGCATTTCTTCCTTTAGGAGGTGCTATTGTCACAAGAAAAGAAAAAGGTTTCAGTTTTGTTTTTGCATGTGGGTGGGTATTCTGTTTGTAATAATTGTTTGGATACACTATATTTTTAATATACTAGTTGTGATACTTTCATGCCAAGTAAAAATGTCCATAGTCATATTTTATGTTCCTAAAGTAGCAGAATGACTTTCAATCGGGAAAAGAAAAAAGAAGTGCCAATGTAGTATTTTTTTTCAATTTTTCTGAAAATTTCCATTTTTTCCCAAAAAAACGGGGAAAAAACGGGTTTTTTTCTGAGCTTCAAAATTTCCGGAAATTTTACGTCTCTACGCAGAGGCAGGAAATGGCAAACCGCCTCTGTTTCTCTCTTGCCCTGAGATGGCTAGCCCATGATCTCCTCAGCTCTCAGAAGCTAAGCAGGGTCAGCCCTTGTTAGTGTTTGGATGGGAGACCACCAAGGGATTCCAAAGTCGCTACTCAGAGGCAGGCACCTCTGCTTGTCTCTTGCCTTGAAAACCCTATGAGGTCACCACGTCAGCCGTGACTGGACTGTGGGTTCTCCGCGTGTGAGTGTGTAAGCAGGAGATGATGGTGTCCTCCGCGGAAGAGTTGTGACTGTTCTTTTTCTTTCACTTTAGTTTGTTGCCCAGCCCAACTGCCAGCAACTCCTCGCCTCCCGCTGGTACGACGAGTTCCCCGGCTGGAGGAGGCGCCACTGGGCCGTGAAGATGTTGACTTGCGTCATCATCGGCTTCCTCTTCCCCGTCTTCTCCGTCTGCTACTTGATAGCCCCCAAGAGCCCGCTGGGGCTGTTCATCAAGAAGCCGTTCATCAAATTCATCTGCCACACGGCATCCTACTTGACTTTCTTGTTCTTTCTGCTGCTCGCCTCTCAGCACATTGACCGATCCGATCTGAACATGCAGGGGCCTCCGCCAACCATCGTCGAGTGGATGATATTACCGTGGGTCCTGGGTAAATGTATTAGTAAAGAAAATACGGCCGAATTCTCTGTGGTCCAGGAATAATTGTCTAGCATCCATTAAGACCTTCAGTGTGAAGCACTGGGATGTATTAGCGTTATGATTCAGACTGGAGGTCTCCAACCTTTTTGAGCCTGTGGACAACTTTCTAATTCTGCCACAAAATGGTGGCTGCAAAATGGCTGCCACAGGAGGCAGAGCTAGCCACAAAATGGCTGTCCCAGCTTACTTTCAATCATATAGCGAAGGTCCTTGTGCTGAGGTGGCAGCTGCTGCCAAAACACATTTTGAAGAAATCCGCACAGCCAATCAAATCTCCAGTGGCCAATCAGAAGCCTTGCTGGACAAAAGCTCCACCTGCTCCACCCACTTTCTAAAACCCTTGCTGGGTCCCAGGGAAAGTGTTAGCAGTCACCATGGTGCCCATGGGCAGGGAGACAAAAGACACAGTTTGGTGTAGCGGTTAGGAGCACGGACTCTAATCTGGGAGAGCTGGGTTTGATTCCCCATTCCTCCTCCACATGCAGCCAGCTGGGTGACCTTGGGTCAGTCACAGTTCTCTCAGAGCTGTTCTCTCAAGAGCAGTCCTCGAAAGAGCTCTCTCAGCCCCACCTGCCTCACAGGGTGTCTGTTGTGGGGAGGGGAAAGGAGATTGTAAGCCGAGTGAAGGTTGGGGTATAAATCCAATCTCTTCTCATCTTCTTCATCACATTGGGGACGCCTGAATGAGACCATAAGGAGGAACAAAATTGTTCAGATAATGATTATCTGTACAAGAGATTTAAGGAAAGCAGGAGTTGTTTCCCGTTACCATTTCTGACAAATGTGGTATTTTGTTACAGCAGATGTCCTAAAGTTGGTTAATGTCAGCGTCTACCGATAATCACAGAGAAGTGGGATCCGTTTGGGATTATTAGCATTTGATAAATTTCAGGTTTTCCCTGAACTGTATAGATAGAGGCGAGTATCTGAAAGACTTGGGGTTTTTAATATGATGCTTAATTTATTTTTTAAAAATCAACTTTTAAAATATGCTAAGAATACACCATGGCAAATCCTTACTTATAAAACAAATGTTTTAAAAAATCTACAGGGGAAAAAAATCTGTAATAAGTTCTAATAAGAAGGCCGTCTCCCCAGAGGGGAAGACACGTAATATATCATCCTGCTTTACTGCCAGGAGTAAATTGCATTTTCAGATAAATAGTTTGACTTTTCTCTAAAATCCATCTAAATTGGAGTCCTCCCCACCTACTCTCCCTGTCTTCCTGGTGAAGCACCACAGCACTGCTTGTCTTCGGAGGAAGAACAGGAGGAAATGGAGATAGCTGATTTGTTTATTGTCAAGCCCAAGTCTTAGGAAAAACGTATTTGGGACCATTTTTCTGAGATGGCTACCAGAGAATCTAATACATATGTACCTAGGCTTTAGGTTGTTGTTTTGTTTTTCCCCAGAAAGTGAAAATGTAATCAGAAATCAATTTCTGATCTTCATTTCTAAAAAGATGCGAGCACAAAGACGGAAATATTGAAATTGTTAAGTGGTATGCAGTACATTTAAACCACTCATCCTCTTTGGAAATCCATTAACTGCATCTGCCTACGTGATTCTCAGCAGTGAGTTCTATATAAGGGGTCCCCAATATGGTGTCCAGTGTGGTGTCGTGGCTAGGAGCGCAGACTCTAATCTGGGAGAACCAGGTTTGATTCCCCACTCCTCCACATGCAGCTGCTGGTGTGACCTTGGGTCAGTCACAGTTCTCTCAGAGCTGTTCTGGAAAGAGCAGTCCTTGAGAGAGCTCTCTCAGCCCCACCCACCTCACAGGGTGCCTGTTGTGGGGAAGGGAAGGGAAAGAAGTTTGTCAGCCGCTCTGAGACTCCTTCGGGTAGTGAAGGGTGGGGTATAAATCCAATCACCTCTTCTTCTTCTTCCATGGGTGCCTGGGCATCTGCAGGCACCTTTCCCAGTGCCTGCCAAGCATTTTTAGAAAGTAGGCATGGCCACGTAGGGCTTTTGTCCAGCAAGTTTTCTGATTGGCCATTTGATTGGCTGTGAAGAGTCTTAAAAATGTTGCTTTGGCAGCAGCTGCCACCGCAGCATAAGGACCTTCACTGTGTGGCTGAAAGTAAGCTGTGGCAGCCACTTTGTGGCTGGCTCCACCTTCAGCAGCAGCCCTTTTGTGGTTGGCTCTGCCTTCAGCAGCAGCCCCTTTGTGGCAGCCATTTTGCGGCTGGCTCCGCCTTCAGCAGCAGCCCTTTGGTGGCAGCCATTTTGTGGCTCTGCCCACCACCCTGTGTCAGAATCCCTAAGGTTACTTCAGACCAACGCGGCTACCCACTTGAGTCCAAAAGTATCGAGATTAATGACTTCATTGCATTCTTAACCTTGCCCTGATGACCATTTTTCAGCTCAAGGTTCCTGCTTTTCAGCTCACTGGATTCCAGATTCATTCTTATCTGCAGCATCTGGAACCCAACAGAGGAGAAAAGCCGGGAGGTGTGTTGAGTGGTCAGCAGGGCAGGGTTAAGAATGCAATGAAGGCTTCCCTTTCATGTCTGTGTCCACCTCCTCCTAGGACCCCGAGGGTGTGGGTTTGTTGCTTCACAAGTGGTTGGTAAGGGATCCATTGGTCTTTGCAATTACTTTGCAGGAAGGGCCAAACCTGAGCCCACCGTTAATTTGCTAAGCCACAAGGTCAGGCCATTCTTTATTTTCATGTTTTGAAGAAAACATGGCTTGTCCTAAAGGATTTGGGACCTGTCTAGACAATGGCTGTGGTCACACGAGCAATTTGCCACGATATAGTAGCATTGCCTTTGCAGATTTAAAAAGCACGATCAGACAGCAACATCTGCCTGCCATGCCCCAGTCGTCGGCACCCCGTGTTGCCCTGCCTTGGAAATGGAGTGATCAGGCACTGGAGAAAGTCTGGTGTTGATAGATGTCAGCACTTCATAGAATCAGAGTTGGAAGGGGCCATACAGACCATCTAGTCCAACCCCTGCCCAATGCAGGACCAGCCTAAAGCATCTCTGACAAATACTCGTCCAGCCTCTTCTTGAAAGCTGTGAGTGAAGGGGCGCTAACTCCATTACGCTTTCCCAGACATCTGAACTCTCTTGCAGCGAAAGGAACCCGGAAGGGACGTCTGAACACGCAGATCTGTTTCTGTCACTTTTTTTTTAGCTGCTGCCTATATGCGCATATGCACATGCATCCACCTGCATTAAAACAAAAATGACCAGGCAGCCTGCTCCATGGTTAAGGCGTTGCAGTAATGTGAATGTCAGACCACCAGACGAGCACATGGGAAAACCGTCCCCAGGGTCTGCTGTCTGTTTGGTCTGCCCCGCAGTACTTTAAACTGGTGCAATTAGAGGCACGCCCAGATCACGGCAAGCCTCCAATATGATCGCAGCCAATGTCTTGGTGCATGAAAGTTATCTTCATACAACAAAATCTCGTGGGCAGCTTGTCCTGGTAGAACCGGGGGGGGGGGATTCAGGGGAGCAGCTGAATGCGATTAAGCTGCCCTGACAGGGAAAAAAAAGGATAGTTTTTGTTTGAGGACTTGAATTGATGTACACGGCTCTAAGACATCCTTTGAGAGCACTGGAATAATGAAGGTAATCATCTTTTTGAAAGAACAAAGGCTGAGTCCTGTGGCACCTTGAAGACCAACAAAGTTTAATTCTGGGTATAAGCTTTCAGGTGCATGCACACTTCTTTAGATAAAATTGGAATGCAAATCCGTCAACCTCATAAAGGGTATCTGAAGGAGTGTGCATGCACATGAAAACTGATACCCCGAATTAAACTCTGTTAATCTTAAAAGTGCCACTGGACTCAAATGTTGTTCCAGTATCTGAAGAAGTGTGCATGCATACGAAAACTGATACCCCGAATTAAACTTTGTTAGTCTTAAAGGTGCCACTGGACTATTGCTTCAGACCAACATGGCGACCCACTTGAATCTGTCTTTCTAAAATTTATTGATCTTCTTCGTGGTCTCTGTGCATCACACCCTTGGGATACTCTGCGCCTGCGCTGACCTTCTCGGTACCGATAGCTAGCAAAAGGGATTTTCGCGCCTCTCCCAGGTCACGCGCCGGCTCCACTGCGCATGACCAAGGAGGGGCACGCAGATCCCGCCAGTTCTCTTCTGACCGCCGCGCTGGTAGGACGCCTTCTGCCTCGGTCTGCTAAGTACCAAACTTTTTTTGCTAAACTCGCGTTTAGTTAGTTTCTCTTTCTTTATTTTGTAGTTAGCATTTTTCTTTCGGTGTTTGTTCTTTACTTACGTTCCCCTCCCGCTGGCCTATGGCCCCGCGGTGGGGTTGTTTCAAACGGTGTAGGACTTGCGGCCTTAAAATATCCCCCACCGACGGGCACTCGCTTTGCCTCGTTTGTTTAGGGGAGTCGCACTGTGTCTCTAAGTGCAGACATTGCCGAAAGTTTTCGAACCAGACGAGAAAAAACAGAGCAGCTCGTCTACACTTGGCCCTGATGGAGAAGGCATTATCTCCACAGTCCTCTTCGCCGTTAGACACGTCCGGGCACGCCTCGATGTCCACCTTGGCTGCGGACACTTGTCCTCCCGTTCCGGGATCATCGACGTCGACGGTCGCAATCAATGCTTCGGCACCGAAACGATCGACGCCGATAAAGGACCACCCCGTACCTTCCAAGATCCGGAAGCAGGGCAAAGACTCACAGCAGTCGAAGAAACCTAAAACGGACAAACCCAAAGTCCATAAGGTTTCGGCTAGTCAGGGTCGAGATCCCACGCAAGAACCTCACCCGATCGGTTCGGATCTCGACATCGACCTTACTCAACAGACAAATCAGTCGCAATCTGATATGTCGAGCCGTCAATCCTCTCATGCCTCCCCAGAACGTGGAGTCGAGGATCGGCACCGACCAACATCTCCTCCCCTGACTTGGGATGAGAGGCAATGGCATTATTTGTACGGGAATCGATACCCATACCC